AGACCTACCCTGTCAAGTTCGTCGTTCTGCAAGACTGTGCGAAGGACGTTATCCTCGGAATGGACTTTCTCTGCGAGTACGGCGCCGTCATCGACCTCGGAGCAAAGCGGCTGACGTTACGAAAACCTGCTCCACCACCGGAGGAACCCAAAGCGACGTCGTCCGCGGAACAAGTCCCCGCAAACCACGTGAACTTGATAATGATGTAGAAAACCCGGTAAAAGCAGAGAAACTTGGTCGAAGAATAAAGACTGGGGAAAAGTACGTCTCAAACTCAGCTACTGTGTTTTTTTCATCAGGACAGTGCCCGGCTCGCTTACGCAAGCCGGGCACTCTCCAAGGCAGAAAAATATTATTCAACGACCGACAACAAATGTCTCAATGTCGTCCGGGTGTTAAACACGTTCCGCCCATACCTGTACGGAATCCCGGTCCACGTTGTCACGAACCACCACGCTCTCTGTTGGCTAGCCAACCTCAAGGACCCGTCAGGACGCCTCGCTCGCTGGAGCCTTCGACTGCAAGAATTCGACGTGACCATTGTGCACAAGTCTGGCCGCAAGCATAATGACGTCGATTGTTTGTCTAGGGCCCCAGTCGAATCTCCTGCCGACAGCACGGACAACGACAATAATACCCGTTTTCTCGGAGCAATAACAGATTCCGACATGGGAGAAGTTCAACGAGACGACCCGAACTTCGTGCCGTGATCGGCCACCTCGAAGGCCAAGGATGTTCAGTTCTGCAATTCTTGGCCCGAGACTTGTCAAGCTTCGTTCTGCGGCCGGGCGTGCTCTCCAAGAAGAACTTCGGAACCAGCAACCCTGCCTGGCTGCTGGTTGTTTCCGCCAACCTGTTTGTGACAAGTACTATCGCCGTGACTCCCGAAAACCGTCCATTTGTATACACGGTCTTGCCATGAGTGCCAACGACGTAGAAAGCCTCCGACGAAGCTAGCAGGACTCCTGCAGCCGATATTTGTCCCGACTTCGCCCTTCCAGCAGGCCGGAATGAATTTACTTGGGCCGTTAACAACATCGACGCAAGGGAACCGTTGGATTATCGTCGCGACCGATAATCTTACACGATACTCCAAGACAAAAGCCCTTCCATCGGGAAGAGTGGTGGAAGTCGCCAAGTTTTTCGTCGAATATATTCTCCTTCGACATGGCGCCCCCGAAGTCTTGATAACCGACCGATGGTCATCGTTTTTGGCTCAGCTCACGCAAGAGATATCCTTCGGCTCAGCCACACCAGCCATCGCCGGACCACCGCGTACCATCCGCAGACCAACGGGCTAACGGAGCGGCTCAACAAGACGATCTCCGACATGATCTCCATATACGTCGACGTAGAGCACAAGACGTGCGGCGAGGTATTACCGTACGTCACGTTCGCCAGCAAGACCGCAGCTCAAGAAACAACCGGGTTTACACCATTCGAGCTGGTGCATAGCAGAAAAGTGACGACCATCTGGACGCGATGCTGCCCCATGAGCCAGTGGATGACGGATGCGACGATGCCCATGTGGTCAGCCAGAGAGCAGAAAAGGCACGCCAACTAGCCCCCCTTCGAATCCACGATCAACAGCGTTTCGACGCTCGCTGGTACAATCTTCGTCACCGCGCCGTCCACATCCAGCCCGGAGACAGAGTGTGGGTGTGTGATCGCCGATTCGTCGCCGCGGTGTCAAACTGCTGAAGCGCTACTTTGGGCCTTACAAGATCATCCGACGCATCGGAGATCTGAACTACGAAGTTCTTCCCGACGGAACACGACCATCAACAAGACGTCAGCCGCGACCCGAGGTGGTGCACGTCGTCCGGCTGAAGCCGTATTACGAACGATAGAACTTTCCACTCTCGACGACGAGTGAACTGTGAACTGTGAACTGTGGCTCGCGATTCCGCTATCCTTTTGTTGTGGATTTGTTTTTTCCTTTTGTGCTGCATCGGGATGATGCACCCTTTTAAAGGGGAGAATAATGCCACGAGCGCAGCTGACCAAATAGGCAGCGCGTCCGTGGCCCAATGGTTGTCGCGCTTGCCTTCCACGGAGAAGTCCAGGGTCCTACACATTTTTATTGAGGCTGTAATGTGATATTCTGGTAAATTCGAGAACAGTCTTGTTCCTTCGAGGTTAGAATGTTCTACGCACCGAACCTTCAACGCCGAATGTTCCAGAAGCCCACGCTCGTACACGTGGGGCTTTGCGTGGCGAGCCGGAGTCAGTATCGCCCCAGCGTTTCGACCCTGCTGCTACGCCGCCATCGATACCCACGACGCTCTATAGTGTTATCTTCCGTTTTCCTTTTGTTCTGGGCACAAGTTCCCCAATTAAACGTTTGGTTTGTGTCACAGTCGCCCCCGCCTGGAGGTTAGAGGCGCGATTCCCCCTTGACGGTTCGCCCGCCGGCCTTCTACAACGACTGAGAACAATATTTATTTTTGTTGAGGCCGGTCAGCCCGCGCGGTTGGCGCGTGTGCTCAAGTTGGGGAAGAACGGAATGAGTTCAGGCGGACACATGGAGTTTGAACAATAAACAATATATTTGCTTGAAAAAAAAATAGAAATATAAAAGTCGAGGTTTGGCACATAGGCAAACAATGCACAACAAAAAAAAAAAAAAGAAGAAAACCCCGAAGTTCCACACGGAACTTCAATCAACATTAAAGCCAAAAGAAACAATAAAGTAAACGGTTGGCGAGCTACAGCAATACACAGGGCCGGAGCACAGACGACAATTAAACAAAGCAACCAAGCCACGGACGGAGAGCAGGTAAAAATAAAACGTCCGGAAGAGTAAAGTCCGAAGTGTACGGACGGGTCTCACTCAAATTTGGTGACGGAGGGGATCGTCGGGCTCTCGGCGGTGGTGAGCTGGCAGGAAGACGGCATTGGTGACGATGAAGAAGACTGAGAAGATATCGCGTTGTCGGGCTGCCATTCCCGCCGACTTCACCCCGCAACCACGAACGTCTTACCCCCTTGAAGACCCAAAAAGCTCTGCCCCGTAACTATCCGCTCCCCACGAAAGCCGTCTCAACCAGTGTTGCCAGGTCTACTGATTTATCAGTAGATCTACTGATTTTGTTCCGGGTCTACTGATTCACTGAAAAAGGAGGAAATCTACTGACTTTTTTTTAGTAAACATATTAAAAATTTATTATTAGGCCCCTTCAGTTCCCAGGGTCACCCATGAAAGGAAACTCATATTCTCCCAGAAATAAAAAGGAAGCACTGGCTAGGCGGCGCAGTAACCCAACCTATTCGAGCGACTTAACCGTATATTCATATCTACACACAGAGCAGGTTCGACCAACGTTGGGTTTGACTGACATCCGGGCCAGAGCCATATAGGAAGAGTTTGGCCAGCCTATGATCTCGCCGCCGTAACGTCTCCCTCCCGAGTGAGCCAATCAGCCTGCGGCGCAAAGCGAGAGGCGTGAGCGCATGCGCGTCAGCTCTCGGCTGCTCCCAGTTGAGCGGGGAGGGCTGCCATTTTCATTCATTCGCCCGGCGGAATGCATGGGATCGACATTCAAATTTCGGTTCTTAACTTTTATTTGGCAGGCTTTGGCAAGAAAATAATATAATGTTATTCCTCAGTGTCTTAAAAAGCTAACTAATTAAGTTTCTCCACGTTCGAACTCAAGCTTTGAGTCAGGCGAAAAAGAAATAAGCCCGTAGCAGACGACGTGTAGCCTCGACAGTGCTCCGCGCCGACAGCGTTGCGTCAAAAACCTTCCACAACCCGGTAAGGAAGGATGGCAGCTTGCAGAGGACATAAAATGAGCATGCACACGCGCACTTGCTGGAACGACTTGTTTTGGTTTCGTTTCAATAATAGCGACAGGTGGATGTCCCACTGTCTCCCTCATCTGTTGATCCTAAAAGTGGCTTAGTCTCGATTTCCACGAATAATCCTCGAAATTGCAACACTAGTCAATTCTGATAAAAAAACATATATATATATATATATATATATATATATATATATTCACGGTGCCATTTTACTTTGTTTTTAACAAAGAATTACTCGAGAACTGGTCTTGTTTTTTCATATTTTATTTCTGTTTATTACCATGTTATTTGTTGCTTTATAGTATTTCTTCGAAAAATGGTTTAATGGAAATGGCGAAACACAGATTTCGTAGAATCTACTGATTTTTGTGCAAATCTGCTGACTTTTTGGAGATCAATCTGCTGACTTTTTTTTTCTCCGTCTGGCAACACTGGTCTCAACCGTCCGCCTCCACGGCGACGTATTTCCCGCCTTTGTCGGCGCCGAAGGCACCGCCGAGTACCGAGTTTCGTCTTGCCGTTTTCCGGTCGCCGCAACCCGAGCCGGCGCACCGGAAAGGCAAAATCGGCCAAGAGGCACGGCGAGCAGCACGAAAACACAAAGAAAAAAACATCGCGGGAGAGTCGGCCGGCGCCAGAGTTTGTGACACTGCCCCCCTCTCTAAGAAATATTATGCAATAATATTGTGTACAACACAAACAATGGGGACGAACGAGAAAAAAAAAGTAAAAATATAATAGTAAAAACCTTTACGTAAAACACTTTCACTTTCAACCTACACAGCACGAAGTCGTGTCGCCTGTAGGCTGGACTTCAGGCGATTGAAGACTCGATGGGTACCATCGGAGCGACACGTTCCGGCTAGTCCACGATCGTACTTGATATGACGAACACAACACATCACGCAGAGTCGATAGGCACATAACAGTTCACCTCGACGAAAGAAGTTCGTGCTAGTCCACAGACAAAACCGACAACCAAGTAACGCAATTAATACTTCTGGTCACTAAGTAAAGCCAAAAGCAAACAACCCTTTCTCCACGCGTAACATTCGCGCTACGTATATGTACAGGTTACTATATTCATACTAGAAAACGTGCATTGAATTCTAGACAATTGAAAAACACTAGAAAAAATGGAGAAAGGCCGCAGAACCATTGACAAAGAAAAACGCTGCGGCATGTAAACGCCCTATCTAGTCAATCCGGCTCATGTAATCGGCTCCCACATTTTCACTTCCCTTAATATACTCAACGTGGAAGTCGTACACCTGGAGTCTGAGACTCCAACGGAGAACTCGGCAGTTAGCCGACTGAGTTTCCTTAATGAACCTTAAAGGCTGGTGATCCGTCTGGACCAGGAACCTCCTCCCGTAGAGAAAGGCTTGAAACTTTTCGATCCCCCAAACCAGAGCCAAGGCTTCTTTCTCTACCGTCGAGTACGCAACCTCGCGAGGAAGCAATTTGCGGCTAGCATACGCCACGGGATGCAGCACTTCGCCGTGCCTCTGGAGAAGAACGGCGCCTACGCCTCGGTCAGACGCATCTGTCCGCAGAATAAAGCTTTTCTCAAAATCGGGCAGCTTCAAGATGGGTGGATTTGTCAACCGCTGCTTGAGGCGCACAAACGCGTTCTCGTGCTCGGAGTTCCAGCTAACGGTTCCGGGCTGGCCTTTTCTTGTAAGATCAGAAAGGACGGCCGTCTCGGCCGCATAGTTGGGAATAAAGTCTCTGTAATAACCCGTGAGCCCCAAAAATGATCGGACCTGCCTCTTTGTGGTCGGACGCGGCGCGTCTTGAATCTTTTGAAGGTTTTTAGGGAGTGGTGACTTCTCGCCTTCCCTGATCGTGTGACCCAAAAAGGCGACCTCCTGCATCCCCACTTCACACTTGAGCGGCTTTACAGTTAGGCCGTCATTTCGGATACGTGTGAAAACCTCGCGAAGGGTTTCACAGTGCTGTTCCCAGGTCGTACTCGCTATGAGCACGTCGTCATAATAACAGGCGACGTCGGGCACGCCGGAAAGAATCGTCCGCATCAATCTAGTAAAAATGGCAGGTGCAGTCTTGATGCCGAATGGCATGTAGCGGAACTGATAATGTCCGGTGTCAGTTGAAAAAGCAGTCAGTGGCTTGGAGTCCTCCGACAGCGGCACCTGCCAGAACCCTTTCGCGAAATCCAACTTCGTAAAAAATCGTTTGTGACCGACTGCTGCCAGCAGATCGTCAGAGCGAGGCATTGGTTCTGCGTCGTCCACAAGACACTCATTAAGCTTGCGGAAATCAATGCAGACTCTGTGCGTCCCGTCCGACTTCTGCACGGCAAGCAGCGGGGAGTTGTGTGCGGATACTGATCGCTCGGCGATACCGAGTCGTAGCATGTCAGACACTTCTTGGTCGACGACTTCCTTTACGGCAAAAGGCAGCGGGTACTGTTTCACATGAACCGGCAACTCGGTACGCATGTCCAGTTTGCACTCTGCCGATCCGGTCGTCCCCGGCAGGTCCGAAAAAATAACCTCGAACTCCCGGAGGAGTTCCCGTGCCTCCGCCAGCTGCTCCTCCGTCAAATTCGAGCCAATTCTCACGTCACGAGAAAACTGCGTCAGGTACGGCGGTGGCAACGTAATATCGCTCGAGTCACCTTCCTCTGAAGGGAGGACAGCGCTTGCTCCGGCCACGCTGGCGCTTGTCGCTCTTTCCTGGTACTTTTTCAGCATATTGATGTGAAACGTCTTTGTGGAGTGGCCCAAATCTACGGCGTAGTCCACGTCACCCCTTCTATCGACGACGGGAAACGGCCCCCTCCACTGCATGAGCAGCTTGTTATGGTCAGTTGGCAACAGGATAAGTACCTGATCTCCCGGCTTCAGGGAGCGTTTTCGGCTTTTCAGATTGTAATAGCGGCCATACCGCTCCCCGGCCTTTTCCAACTCCTCGTGAGCGAGCCTGCAGGTGTGCTCCAGTCGCTCACGGAGAGCAAGCACATACTCGTAGGTCGTCCTTGTCTCACTTGGGATTTCAGAATTTGTCCAGAGCTCTCTAAGAACGGAGAGGGGTCCCCGGACGCTCCTCCCGTACAGCAACTCAAATGGCGCAAAACCCAGGCTCTCCTGCGGTACTTCGCGGTAAGCAAAGAGAAGCGGCGCCAGGTATCGATCCCAATCATTCGGTTTTTCGCGACACATACGTTTTAGCATCTGTTTGAGCGTACCATTAAAACGCTCCACCAACCCGTTAGCCATAGGGTGGTAGGGAGCGGTGTGGAGCTGCTTCACTGATAGCAGCCGGCTCACCTCCTTCATCACCTCGGATGTGAAGTTGGTGGCCCGGTCGCTCAAGACCTCCCTCGGCACGCCGACGCGGGAAAACATCTGGACGAGCGCCTCGGCCACCCTTTCAGTCTCGATGCTCGGGAGCGCCACCGCATCCGGGTACCGAGTCGCGTAGTCGATCATTGTTAAAATATATCGGTTCCCCTGAGCTGACCTGGGGTTCAGTGGCCCCACAATGTCGATCGCCACTTTCTGAAAAGGGGTGTCAATTATCGGCACCTTCACCAAAGGCGCCTTCCTGGTGTGGCCCTTCGGAGTCGTCCGCTGGCACGTGTCGCACGACGCAACATACCGCTTAGCGTTAGCCTGCATTGCGGGCCAAAAGAACTCTGCCCGCATTTTCAGCAACGTTCTTCTTGTTCCCTGGTGGCCGCCCATTACCCCGTCATGTGCGAGCTCCAAAACCGCATTTCGGTATCTCTTCGGAACAACCACTTGCACGAATTCGCCTCCAAACTTTGACGTATACTTTCGGGTGAGCACGCCACCGTGCATGAAAAACGTATGGCTGTCGCCTTTCCTACCGCCACACGCTTGATCCAACTTCCCAAAGCAGACCTTAAGGGTCGGGTCTTTCCCTTGCTCCTCGATTAGCTCCTCGCGGCTTATTCCCGGAAGTTCTCTGTTCACCTTGAGTCCCCGGAATGGCGCCTTGTCGCGACTCTGGGCCCTCGTGACCACTGGACTTGCCTGTGACGAACTGGAATCGGGTGCGCCACAGCCGCCCTGTTCTTCCAAAACAGCAGTTTCTCTCTCACAACCGTCTTTTCTTTCTGGAGTCTCACGATCCCTGATCAGAGGCGGTGCCGCGGGTGCAGCCTCGGCGCTCCAGTTTGGATCCGGATCGTCGGCACGCCTTACACCGTCGACATTCCCCAAGATGAGATCGTAAATCGGGTCGTCCATACATTTGGCCCGCAGGCGGCCCTTGAAATAAGGGGTGTCCACGACAACCCACGCCTCCGGTAGCATCAAAACGGAGCGGTCCAGAAGGTAGACAAGCGATTTCGTCCCCGTTAAGCTTTTGTCGTGAACCAGGCCGCGTCGCACGATGACGGTGTTACAGCCTGTGTCCCTGAGGACGCGGGCTCTCTCGCCCTCCACCAAGCCAGTCACCACGGGAAGGCCCTCGCTCATATGGAGGTCTTTACGTGCTAAACCCGTATTAACCACGGGGACCTTCTCACCATTCCTGAGCTCCACGTAGCCCTCTTCAATACACGCAGAGGCCGATCCTCTGTTCGTCTCTTTAGGTTTTGTCGAATCCCCCTGCCAGCATTTCCAACTTGGGTGGCCAGTCTTCCCGCATTTAAAACAGCGCCTTTGCTGCGGACTCTGAATAGACGCAGCAGCCCGGCAGTTTTGGGCGACGTGACCAGGGCGCGAACATAGAAAACACCTCTTGGCTTCGAGGCCCCTGGCCGCGGACATCTGGTTAGGAGTACCCGGCTTTTCATTAGCTCTCGGGGAGGCTGCCTCCGTCTTTTCCTTCGAAGCGGCGCGTTTCGCGAAGTTGGCCCACCCATGGGCCTCCACATACTGTTCCGCCCTTGCCACCATGTCGGCCAAACGGGCATCCTCCTTCTCTCGGAGAAATAGCTCCAAAGGAGTGGCGCAGTTGGCCAAAAATCGTTCCTTCAGAAAAAGGTCAAAAAGTGCCTCATAGTCTTTCGTTGTCTGTGACAACTCGACCCAACGGTCCAAAAAATTGCGGAGACGAGTGCAGTACTGAGAGCAAGTTTCTCCGTTCATTGGGACGGCGCTCCGGAACTTCTCGCGGAAGCCCTCTCCTGTCATACGAAATCGGAGCATGAGCGCCTGCCGCAACTTGTCATAGTCCGTGCAGTCCGGTGTCGGCATCCGGCTAGACACACTTAAGGCCTCGCCACTCAAGCAAAGGCTCAGGGCCGTAGCCCACTGTTCTCGTGGCCACTTCTGACCTTCAGCAACGCGCTCAAACCGCAGCAAATAAGCGTCTAAATCATCTTTCTGCTCATTGAACGGCGGCATCAATTTATGGGGCGCAACTACGCCTGCTCGGGTCGTATGGCCTCCTGATCCAGCTGTACTTGTGTCACTCTGACCTGTGCTGTCCCGCTCTCGTTGCAACAAAAGCAATTCTTTCTCACTTTCCATTTCCAGCAATCTTAGCCTCGTTTCCTCTTCCCTTTTATGTAGCTGTTGCTCAGCCTCCTCTTTGCGCCAAGCGCGCTCTGCGTTCCGCTCTTCCCTGCGTTGCGCTCTCTCCCTCTCAACCCATGCAAACAATTCCTTGCCCTCTAAACCAAACTGCCTTCCCTGTTCAATCAACCTCTCAACCTCCGAATCCGCCATCGCTCAAAAACAAAATAACCGTAGCACCCTACTCTACTCGAACATTAAGAACTCAGTCCGTCCACCCAAACTGGGCACTTGGCTGACCGGTCCTGTCGCGGACGCCAGGTATTGTCACAGTCGCCCCCGCCTGGAGGTTAGAGGCGCGATTCCCCCTTGACGGTTCGCCCGCCGGCCCTCTACAACGACTGAGAACAATATTTATTTTTGTTGAGGCCGGTCAGCCCGCGCGGTTGGCGCGTGTGCTCAAGTTGGGGAAGAACGGAATGAGTTCAGGCGGACACATGGAGTTTGAACAATAAACAATATATTTGCTTGAAAAAAAAATAGAAATATAAAAGTCGAGGTTTGGCACATAGGCAAACAATGCACAACAAAAAAAAAAAAGAAGAAAACCCCGAAGTTCCACACGGAACTTCAATCAACATTAAAGCCAAAAGAAACAATAAAGTAAACGGTTGGCGAGCTACAGCAATACACAGGGCCGGAGCACAGACGACAATTAAACAAAGCAACCAAGCCACGGACGGAGAGCAGGTAAAAATAAAACGTCCGGAAGAGTAAAGTCCGAAGTGTACGGACGGGTCTCACTCAAATTTGGTGACGGAGGGGATCGTCGGGCTCTCGGCGGTGGTGAGCTGGCAGGAAAACGGCATTGGTGACGATGAAGAAGACTGAGAAGATATCGCGTTGTCGGGCTGCCATTCCCGCCGACTTCACCCCGCAACCACGAACGTCTTACCCCCTTGAAGACCCAAAAAGCTCTGCCCCGTAACTATCCGCTCCCCACGAAAGCCGTCTCAACCGTCCGCCTTTGTCGGCGCCGAAGGCACCGCCGAGTACCGAGTTTCGTCTTGCCGTTTTCCGGTCGCCGCAACCCGAGCCGGCGCACCGGAAAGGCAAAATCGGCCAAGAGGCACGGCGAGCAGCACGAAAACACAAAGAAAAAAACATCGCGGGAGAGTCGGCCGGCGCCAGAGTTTGTGACAGTTTGTTTCAGTTTTAGTTGCTTCATTATCTGTCGTTCGTGACAATATTAATGACTGAACACATTTGAAATTGATTGACACATCCGAATAAGCCTGCGTGGTATTTTGAATAAATAAATAAACCTCCAGATATTGTTTTAAGGAAATAGACTCGCTAAATTCGGTATACCTCCTAGATTTTTGACTTCCTAAGTATGTCTGACGGTTATCTTGTGAAACTAACGGGACAGGTCTACTGCATCTCTGAACGTAGCTGTATTTTTAACCATATCTGCTTGTTTACTGTTTTAAAAGAACCGATTCGTTTTTAAGCTTCGTAGTTATATGCAGCATTGTATTTCTTTTTAAGAGAAAAAATGGTTGTATGAAATACAGACTACATTTATCTTTGTACACTGTATTAATTGATCGTATGTATCCTTTATTTTGCCTGAATACATTGTGTTAATTGATGGTCGGTTTCCTCTAGAGTTTTAGAAGATCATTCCGATACCCCCGATAATGATACGATGCATTCGTAAAGGCGACAACGGAGTATCACGTATCGTTATCGGCATCCTCGGAAGGATCTACCAAAACTCTGCTCACACCCAAGCTCTTTGTATCGCCGTGTATATTTGCGGGTTACTGCTCAACAATTGTATCGATGCCTGCGCCGTTTGTATCGTTTTTCGCGCTGTTTGTTCTATGTACAGAGTTGAAATAAACAGTTGTCTTCGTGAAAGAAGCTTTTTTCTTTTGATCACCTGTGGTTGTCGCCCAGTGATGGGCACATCACAAGAAAGCGAAGCACAATGCCGGCGAACGCGAGAACCAGAGAAAAACAAAATACCATGGGGGCCGCCATCTTCAGAAAAAACAACGAAGAAATTGAAATATAAAAAGCAGTTAGTTCCCCCATATCTAGTGAGACGTGATTGCACGGGTTAAAAAAATAATTGAAGGAGTATCGTTTTTTTGTGTCGACAAAATAATCTAAATTGCTTACATAAAATAGTATAGTTTTGGTTGTTTTTTGTCTTCTTATTGACATGATCTCCTAGGTCAAGTGTTCAGCGTTTACCATAGGTTCATTCCACAGTGGTCAAACTGTATATGTGTGTGACTTCATTTCGCACTGTACATCTCGAATCGCGAGAATTCGTAATTGCCGCTCGTGAAGCGCCGCTCGCTTTACTGCTGCTGCTGCTACTGCTTGACGACAGTTCGTCATCGAGTTGCTCGAGCAGCTCCTCACGCTACGTGGATTGTTTCGATGTCCCGCATGAATTCGACTGCCTTTTGGGGACCTCCGCAGAAGAGGCCGAAAATCGAGAAGTACTTCGACACCGTTCACGAGTATTCCGGTCAAGGTCCAAGTGGGCTGCGCTGATGCAGATGGCTTATCAACACGCATCTGTCATATCATTATTAACGTCCCTCGTGCGTTGAACACGTGTTGTTAGTGCCGAAATTGCGAAAACATGCGCCCTAAAATCCGGGACCGTGGAAAGGGGATTCCGGGGAAGGTGAATGACCGGAAGGCATCCTCCGATTTTGGAAAAGTGTTCACGTTCCACAGGGGATCCAGGGGCGGAGTCACTCCGTTCGGATCGCGTGCTCCTTCTAGGGTCTAGTCTACTGATATCGGCGCGCTCTAGAACGACCCGTGGAATTCGCCATGAGTGAGAGGAGGAAACGAGAGCGCGCGGAGACGTCAGAACGCCGAGCTCTGGTTCGAGAGATTAGCTAGGAATTCCCAAGGCTAGCCTTTTTATTTTGTTTTTGTTTCTTTTCCTCTCTATTCTATTCATCGAACACGTTCGAATGCGAAAGCTAAATGCTGGACGCCCGCTCGGCGAGTGCAGTAGAGACGATGGGAGCTATATTAGCTTGAGGTCTGCGTTTGACGTCCCCGTGCGCTCTGTTCTCCTCCCCTCTCTCAGTGCCTCGGCGTATAGACCCATATTCAAAGCCCTACCAAGCAACGTTGGTAATCGCCTAGCCCCGAACCCCCCCCCCCCCCCCCCCCCCCCGCTGACGCAGCACTCGTTTTCGATACGAGCTGAGCCGACTTCGCGCCGAACGCTACTGCAACCCTCGTGTCCAACAAATGCTCAGAGTTCGTGTCCTAGCAATGGCTGACTCGTATAATAGGCGCAGGATCTACTAGATGGCACGTACTTTCTGAAAGGGGTCTATTTTAGGAAGATACACAAATACACACGTTAGTCTCGTTCAATTTACCTACACCTCTGGCACCGGTGCACAAAAGTGCAGGGCAATGTACTTCCGGTGTGTGGAGATAGAATTAGAAGTACACCACCCTACACTTTTCTGCACCGCGGTACAGGAGGGGCAGCTAAATCGAACGAAGCTGCTGTTGAATAATATCAACAAACATAGACACAGAGCCATGGACAGATGGCGCTAATTTCCTTTTAATCTCGAGTCCAGACCAACGTTACTAGAACACTCAGGGCCGGTTGCGCCAACGCGGCTTGGCTCAAAGCGGAGCTTAGCCGGGAACCGTTACCGGGAACCTAAGCTAAGTTTTGGTTTCATTCGGTTGCACCAAAATCGCTTATCGCTAAACCTAGCACTAAACTACGCTTATCGTAAGCGCTCAACATTGGGCGCTTTCCTTTTGGTTGTTTCTTAATCCTGAATTTAAAGCATGGCGGCTGGTTTGTGGCGGTCGATGCGGTGGACGAAATTGGTTGTACAAAGTGTCTTAGGCTACAACAGCGTTAGAGTCTCGACAGAATGACCTTCGATTGTGACAAGGATGCAAATTATTGCCGCGTGTAGTATTTATCGACCCCTGTTTTCAAGTTGCCCTCCACTTTCTGTACGTGTTAGCCCTAACCGTGTTAGCCCTAACCTAACTGAAGTTCCCGTTGGTTATTCTGTCAACGAGCTTATTCGTATGAACTTACTCGACTGATTTTCGCAGAACTGCAACGTATTGTTATTTACCACCTTGTTTATTTCTACTTGGAACGCATATCCTTCAATCCGATCAGCGCGTTGAATAGTGGCAGTAAATGATCTCGGCGATCAGCTGATTGTCGACACTTCTGCCGTTTGCATCAGAGTGCGACGCTTTTAAATTATAAAACAGCGAAAAGTCAATTTCTTTCGTTTTCTGAGTTTCGAGACAATCTTCGGGGAATTTTTCTTGTCTTGAGAGTAGAATCTTGGCTTCAGAAAACTGTATCGTTCCATAACCCTAAATTTTCTGGTGATCGCGTTTTTTTTGGAATATTTTGCTTTGTAGCTTTCATTCGTGGCGACGACAACTTCTATTTGTGGTGACGGCAACTCGACGACTTACTTTCGACGATTTACGGGCATTTTTGCAGATGCCGTGGTGAGTTCGTCACTGTTTTGAACTTCATCGGTCTCAGGCATGACTTGATTTTAGTAGTCATCTTACCTGCCTACTTATTCTCGATTATGTTTGTCTTCAGCGATGTAGCGAGTAGAGCGTCCTTCTCGCGTTCGGTTAGATCTGGGGCCCCCAATGGCTCCTTTTTTTTCAAAATGTGAGCACGA